TGGGAAAAATTGTTCAAAATCAGGACTGTCCCACCAAAAGCGGGACATCTGGTCACCTTACGATAAATACCTTATCAAATCTTCAGTCTCCATTACCGAACTGCCCAATCTTCTCCCACACCTATGCCCACCACAAGGTTTCTCACTCACTGACTGGTTTGAAATCTTCAGTATCTTCCCATAATCTTCTACACACAATCTAAAGTCCTCACTAGAGCTTTCCCAGCTCTCTGACCTGCCCCCAGGACTGTACACGCCTCCACAGCCCCTGCCACAGTGGACTGCTTGAAGATCCCTGCGGGCATGAGACCCATCTTCATGCCTATGGGAGCCCTGACCCTGTGCCCTAGAGTCTACTGTTTCATCTGTGCCTCTCACTCAACCCCATGGCCCAATTTTCAGCCAAACAGCAGACAGGCTGATAAGGGGAACAGCAATACAGTGCAGTGGTTCTCAACCTGTGGGTTGCAACCCCTTTGGGGGCGGAACAACCCTTTCACTGAGGTCTCCCAGTTCATAACAGTAGCAAAATGACAGTGATGAAGTAGCAATGAAAATAATTTTCTATTTGGAGGTCACCGCAACAAGGAACTGTCTGAAAGGGTCGCGGCATGAGGAAGGTTGAAAATCACTGGTCTAGTTGATTCCGACTCATAGCAACCATACAGGACAGAATTGAACTGTGCCTGTGGGCGTCAAAGACTATAACTCTTTATGGGAGTAGAGAGCTCCATCTTTCTCCCAAAGAGCCGTTGGTGGTCTCAAACTGCTGACCTGTAACCCACTACATTCCCAGGGCTTCTCCATCTGTGCCTCAGAAATCCCTAATTGTCACTTGGCCCAAATCCCACTGCTGTGAAGGAGATCTTCTCTGAATCCCTCCACCCCTCCCTCCCACTGGGAGTCTTCCCTCCAAGGTCCCACTTCATCATACGGATCCTATTATGACATCAGTTTTCTGCATGGTGATACCTGATGTGTGGTGTCAGCACTTCTCTAGCAAGTGCTTCCATAGATGGTACCTCCTTAGAGGAAAAGAGACAAATCACTAGCCCTGATTTGTCTTTATATCATAACCTAGCACTGGTTTGTGCATTTAGTATGCACCAAGTTCATTTTAGCTGAGTAAGTCCAGGAATTTAAGTTCTTCTAGGGAGCTATCAGTGTACGGAGCGGTAACAAACACAAGGCTGGTTTATAGGATGATCTGGACCCTTCCAGGATAATCACATTGGGGAGGCAAGCCTAATCATATGAACTAGATGCAGAATAAAGCAACTTGTAAATAATAACAATTAACATCTCTGTAGGGCATATGATGTGCTAAACACAATTCTACGTGTATATTGTTAGTAGCTTCCTCAAAATCCTATCATTTCTTTTTTTAAAAAGCGAGTGGCCACTAAAAGTTGATTTCCTTTAATCCCAGTAATCGAAGTTGGCTATTGCCCAATAAAACAATCAAGACATATAGGTTAATATGAGCTTCAAGTGGGTTAAAGGTCATGGTGGATGCTCCTATCCTACATTTGCTCTGATTGAAAACGTTGACTAAAATGGGTGCATAAGCAAATGTGGTGAAGGAAGCTGATGGCTCCCGGCTATCAGAAGATATAGTGCCTTAGTTCTTAAAGGCTTGAAACAAGCAGCCATCTAGCTGAGAAGCAACAAAGCCCACACCGGCTTTGTGATCACGAGGTGCCAAAGGGATCAGGTATCAGGCATCAAAGACCCAGAACAAAACTCATATCAGTGTGAATGAGGAAGGGGCACAGAGTGGAGACCCAAAGCCCATCTGTAGACAATTGGACATTCCCTTACAGAAGGGTCACAAGGAAGAAATGAGCCAGTCGAGGTGCAGTATAGCACTGATGGAAAATACAACTTTCCTCTAGTTCTTTAATGCTTCCTCCCCTCTACCCCCACTATCATTACCTCAATTCTACCTTACAAATCTGACTAGACCAGAGCATATACACTGCTACAGATAAAAGCTTGAAACACAGGGAATCCAGGACAGATAAACCCCTCAGGACCAATAATGAGAATGGAGATACCAGGAGGACAAGGGGAAGGTGGGAGGAGAAAGGGGGAACCAATCACAATGATCTATATATAACCCCTTCCTAGGGGGATGGACAACAGAAAAGTGGGTGAAAGGAGATAGCGGTTGGTGTAAGACATGGAAGGGAGGATTATAAATGTTTAACTTATCAAAGGTACATTCGTGAGGGAGGGAGGGGGTGGGGGGAAATGAAGAGCTGATATCAAGGGCTCAAGTAGAAAGAAAATGCTTTGGAAATGATGGTGGCAATATATGTATAAGTGTGCTTGACACAATGGATGGATGGATGATGGATGGATGGATGGATGGATGGATGGATGGATGGATGGATGGATGGATGGATGGTGATAAGAACTGTAAGAGCCCCAATAAAATGATTTTTAAAAAGAAAAGGAAACATCTAAATTCTTTCAGTGGATGATGTGAGATGCCTGAGCGCCTTGATTAGAGTGACTGCACCCTGACCTAGAAAATCTGGGCTTAAAATATAGCCAAGATGGCCACTTATAACCAACCACCTTCCTACGAAATAAAACAACAATAACGTTTATTAGGTAATAAAATTTGCCTCCCCTAGGCTTCCTTCTTCCCTGTTGGCTGGCAATTTTTAATCTTTTGTATTTGGAATTAGAGAAGAGTCTGCTCTTTATAGTTTGCTGTTGGCAATATTTTTTTTACTAGTGAAAATGGAATATAAGATATAAAATCCACTAAGTAAACAGCAGTAGGAAGGTATGTGAAAACAACAGGACTTTGGTTGATCGTATACAATTTCTCTGGTTTCATGATTACTAAACTATTTGGAACACGGTAGAAATCCCTTATCACCAAGTGCCTTGGTAGGAGTATGGAAAGAGAGTGAGAGTCAGTTCACATCCGCAGAACATACGCCAGTAAAAGCCTGTATTGTGCATTAACATCTGACCAGGGCATAAAAGTAAATTGGCTCTAAATTACATTTTGACCTTGAAAAATTAAACCCCAAATGAGATAGCACATGGACCTTATAACAGTTGATCCCAGCAGCCGTGCCGGCAGAGTGACAGTCTTGTTAGCATGGTGATAAAGTATCTTATGGCAAACCTTTGCATTCCGATAGTGATTTCCACAGAGGAATCATAAAGCACCTTGGGAAAGGATGTCATTAATATTCATTAAGTGCACATAGAGGCAGAAACTGAAGGGTACGGGTTCCGTGGAGCCACTAGTTCTCCAGAGACTATTCCAGGACCCTCACTTTGCCTCATTGATCGTTCACGAGGCCAGGCTGCTGCTTCACTGCCTGAGTCAAAACGAGCCTTCCCAGGACACCATGATTTATAGAAAGGTTTCTGCTTCTGTGAGAAGTTAATCAAGTGTTTTAGCTACATTCTTATCCACATTGCGTCTTTCATTTTTCAAATAACTTAAGCTAAAATCCATGGGTTTTAGTGCTGGTAGAGATGGCCAAGTAGCTGGTTAGTCCTATACACAGATACACACAAACCCCAAAATTGGAGTAAAATTCTCATTGTGAGTGTCACGTGAGGTCAGCATATTTCTCACATATACAAAAAGTACTCTTGTTGAGTTAATTTCCCTTAAAAGATGATCATTTTTATACCTTATCTAGATTACCTAATGGATTAATTTCTGCAAACTACTAGTGAATGCTATATGCCAGAATCATTAAAACAAACAAAGACACAGGAAAACGCATGGCCAGAATATTTCAGTGTCCAAATGGCTGTCATTAAGTAATCAATCTATTTATTGTTCGGTCATTAAGTAAACAATACATTTACAGTACATGTTTTTGTTGTTGTCGTTGTTCTTTGCAGCAAACCCATGGTCGTGAAAGTTTGTGTGATGAATAAATGCCTTTCCCTTTCCTTCCACCAGATATTTTCTCTATGATTTCTGACTCCAGTGGGGTGATGGTCTATGGGCGGTACGACCAGTTCCTGCGAGAAGTTCTCAAACTCCCCACAGCAGTGTTTGAAGGCCCTTCCTTCGGTTACACAGAACAGTCAGCCCGATCCTGTTTCTCTCAACAGGTGAGAGACGTGTATACTTACGAAAGTGTTTCTCAAACAGCAGCGACTCTTTTTCCACCAGGTCGTCTGCAAAGTCAAACTGCTTTTAGGTCTTTGCTACGAAGGGAAGAACCAATCGATATATTTTCTTTCCCAGCTATGATTTTACATTGATGAGCTGAGGAACCAAGAGGTTCAGTAACTTACCCAAGCCCACCTAGCTAGTTAATAAGAGAGCCAGACTTTGAGTAGGACTGAATACCGTATGTCTGTTAAATGTTTCCAATGACTTAGGAGCCTTGATGATCCTGATGCAGCATTATACCGCTTACTCCTCCCCAGGGCCCTCCGAAGGAACTCTGATGGCATCATGGAGAATGCAGTTGGATCCTAACCACACGGGCATGTTTCTGTAAAGATTTACAGCCTCAGAAACTACCTCTCAGGCAGTCCTATAGAGTTGCAAGGACTGTGGGGTTAGTTGTGGTTGCTAGCCCCCCAAGGGAGATGCTAGCAGTGTTCCTATTTTACAGGGTATAAACCGAGCCTTCGCATGTAAAATGGCTTGAGCAAAAATACGCGGACAGTGGATAGCAACAAGGCCAAGATCCAAACGAATCTCTATCATATGTAGAGTCCTTACCCTTCATCATTACTCTCTCTGACTCTTAAGCATATACTCTTAGCCATTCTGATATTTTCTCTAGTACAAGAAATGGGCAGCTCAAAAGACCTTCCTTTCTCTTCTTGATAATCCTAAATTATTGAGCCATGACCACTGGGATCCCAAAGTCTGAGATCAAAGTAGCATGGACAAAAGAAAGCCCCTCCTCCTTGGATGAATTTGTGTTCAGATGACACCGAGGTTAGGGTTATGTGTTAGGGTCATGAGTTTTGTGAGAATCTATCCTTTCTATTTTGAGGTACAAACCCAGTAAGGGAAAGTTTGATGCACTGATTGCTAATTCTGCTTCAGCCAGGACACCTTTGGGGCTATCTACTGTCCTACCCCAGGCAAGTTTAGGTACTCTAGTGCCTGCCTCTTTATCTCTGCCCCCAACTAAAGCATGCCCCTTTAGGGATTGGTGCCATCACAATGAATCTACTCAGCTTTCTTGCTGGATTGCTCTTCCTTACCCAGAGCTTCCCATCAATCATGATCCGGGACTAATTTCAACACTCTGCAGGTACTTCGCTCCATTTCCTCCTCTTATCTATTGCCTGGACTGTTGCAAACTAGCCTAGACTACATTTCCAAACTCGTCTCTTGTGTCTGGATTTGTTTGTTTCAACATTTGCTTATTTGTTACATATCACATCGTATTCTAAACTATTTGGACACCTAATTTTGTTTAAGTATTTTAGGGAGTCCTCAGACTGCATCTAAAACAACAGGGGAGGGACAAAAGCGGCATTCTCTCTTCCAAGCTCTTGCCCCCAACGCCCACACACCACTGTGCATTCTACTTAGCATCCTTATTGCTGTTTGAGGTTGTTTGCAAGGCTCTGTGCCCTCTCTCCTTCTCCAGCCAAACCTGCTTTCTCAATTCGAGTCCTCTGTAGTCTTTTCCTTCTCACGTCCTGTTCTTTTGTGGACTGAGGGGTTTTTTAGTCCTTTGCTGTTGCGTTTTCTGTCTTGAGCATCCTCTGCATGATTTCGCCCCACGGACTCCTTTTTCTTGCCTAAATGTTACTTTTTCTTCAAGAAGCCTTCCACAAAAGACATCAAGCCTCCTGTCTTAATCATCTCTGTGTCTTCCAAAAATTTAATTACTGTCCTATGAAAACACCCAAATACCCACTATACCAAATTATACTTTTTGGGGTTTGGGGGGTTTTTTTGTACTGAAATTAACTTTTTAATGACTTTTGATATTTTTACCTAATTTTTTCCAATATAAATGCTTTCCAGCCTTTTCCAACCCATTTTAAATGTATGCCTGCTATGTTTTTGTAGTACTGCACAGTACCGATCTGATTTTATGTACAACAGTTCTGGGAGGTAACAAGGAAAAATATGTCCATAGCTAGTGAGTGCAGGGGACTGAACCACAACCTCTGATCTTGTTATCTGTCTCCAGTTCCAATGTGCTGTTGTTTTCCTTTTATTGTGAATATGATGGATTCAAATATGCATATGCAGATGCTCTAATACAAGGAATTGTAACACATGCTATGTTGATTCAGTTAATCACAGAAATATGGAAAATTTTATCTATTGCTGAATTCTTAGTTTTTAAGAAGGGTGTTTTAGAATCCTCAATAAATTTACTAATAGCTCAAAATAATCCTTAAGACTAGCAAGAACAGATTTTTGTAACATAATAGGATTTATATATTCAAAAAGAAATGTTTATGCTGACTTTGCCATTGTTGAAAAAAAAATTCAAGCCCTATAAACTGCACTATAATATTAACTTTTATCTGTCCTCAAGAGTGATAAATTTAAACATTTTAATCATAACGTATTTAGAAATGCCAGAGCTGTTTTCAGCCAACATGGTAACTACTTGTAAGGAAGAAGATTATTTGAAATCCAAGAACAAGTAATACCAACAGAGGAATCAGATGTGTTTATTGTTGTGCTTTATGATGGACTTATTTATAACCAAAGCAGTTCAAATGACGACATCCCCAAACTGTTTCAATTTTATTAGAAAAGGTCCACGGTTATCTAGTGTAACATTTTTGAAAGAGAGACTTCTAGTTATATAATTGTGGTTTAAAGAAGGGGGGGGGCATGTTTATGGTGTCGATTCCAACTCTTAGTGTCCCTAAAGGAGAGGATAGGACTTCTCCTCGGGGTTCCTAAGCGTGTAAATCTTGATGCAAACAAACTGCCTCATCTTCTCCTGCAGAGCAGATGGTAGGTTCCAGTGCTGACCTTTCAGTTAGCAGCCAATTACTTAACCAAAGTACAGCAATTACTGAGCCACAGCACCACCATGGCTCACCTCAACGGGGCTAGCTACTGTCTTACTGCTTATCCCTTATATAGCACACACACACACACACACACACACACACACAACACACATATTTCCTTTATACATTAAAAAGAAGCAGACTGAATTTAGAGAAATTTTAGAGACAAAAGTCTTATGAATAAAAGAGAAAATAGAGGGGTTTTTTTTAGGTTAAAATATTCCCTTCTATGCTGGCTATCTCATGCTGACATCCCCATTCGTCCATCGGTTTGTTACTCTGTGGTGGCCTGCAGCTTGCTGTGACGCTGGACGCTATGCTGCTGGTATTTCACATACTGGGAGGTTTACCCCTGCTGGAAAGGATTCAGCAGTGCTTACAGACTAAAAGCAGACCAGGAAGAAGGAATAGGCTGTCTACCTCTGAGGGGTTCACCACTGAAAACCATGTGAGGAGCAGAAGACTATTGTCTGATACCGGGACCAAAGATAAGCCCCTCAGGTTGGAAGACACTCAAAATACCACTGGGCAAGAGCTGTCTCCTCCAAGGAGAGCCAACCTGGGCAACATGGATAGAGCGATGCTTTGAGGACTTTTATTTGCTGATGGGGCACAAATTCAAAATGAGAAATAGCTACAAGCATCGATTAATAGCTAGAATATTAAATGTACAGTGTATGAATCTAGAAAACTTGGAAGTCATCAAATAGTAAATTGAATGTATACAGACCAATATCCTAGGCATTAATTAGCTGAAAGAGACTGGTATTGTCCAAAGAAAGACTATGGCTAGAAGAGCAATCTTAAATAATTCCCTGCATTGTACTCCCTTTACACTGGAGAAAGGCTGTTACCTGAGGGTGTTGTGACCTACCCGAGGTCTCCTATCATTGTTTGATCACACCAGATCATATCACGGCCAAGCCAAACTGACACATATTTTGGAGAGGACACAGTTCAATTCATTACACGTCCAACAGGCAAGCATTCTGTACTGTACTAATCTTGTATACTATACCGTACTATTCACGAAGTACTTAGTCCTTATGGAAGTATGAAGGAGAAGCCATTCTACAAACTTAGAAGACTGACTAATAATAGAAGTGTATTATGTGGTAAAATTTATGCAGCATGTCTCTGCCTCACCTCTTCCCATCTTTTCATGTGTCTTGACATGTCATGCTCTCAGAATTTTCTCTTTTTGATAAAACTGACTGAGTAGCACTGGAGACCCAAAAAAAAGTCCCGGGTGAATTTAAGTATAAAAAGCAATCAATGTATCAACTTCTACACTCCACTAAATGCCTTGTTTCTTCAGTGTCAAATACTTATGTTTCAGGTTCACTAACATTGGTCCTTCCTATTCTTGATTTTGCTTGTTTTGCATACAGAAAAAAGTCACATTAAATGGATTTTTGGACACACTCATGTCTGACCCTCCCCCCCAGTGCCTGGTCTGGTTGCCCCTTCTGCATCGACTGGCAAATGTAGAAAATGGTAAGTACTTACTACTAAGCAAAAACAACTTCTTAAGTTACTGAAATTCGACCATCAGACCTACAGTTATTAAGCCAAGGTCAATGTTTTAGGAAGACTAATTAGTAGTTCTGAGTTCTGTTTAGGATAGTACTAACCACTTTCCCTATCCAATAAGGACTTAAACGGTTGATTCTAAGAATGTATTAAATCTCATTGCAAACTTCTCAGAAGTCAGGGTTGCCTTTAAAACTTGGTGTCACTGGAGGAAAAAAATCTCAAGAAACCCTGTGGTATTTTCTATAATTTGCGTTGGACCCGAGTTTCCAGTATTGGTATGCATGACACTGGTGAATTCTTTCCAGGCACTCAGGCAAGAAAGGAGGGGAAATTGGTAAAGATTAGATTGTAGCTCCTCGCATCAGTTGTTCCAAATATGAAACTTTCAATAATTGTAACTATGTAAAAATTAAAAGGAATGTATCTTTTGTAAAAGCTTCTTTTTATGTATCAACACAACAATCACTATCATAAAAATTAATTCCCCTTGGCATATTTAATGTTATATATGAGGTGGAATTCAGAACAAATTCTAAATACATTTAAACATATGTCAACTTATCACCTCTATCTAATCTTTAGGTGTTCTTATTTTTTATTTAATTTAACCTGAAATCCCTCAAGACTTGAATAGAAGCAATTTATCCTTAATCTCATACTAAAATAATAACTTCTCTAAATTTCATGAATATATTTTGGGACTAAAATTGGATTAATTTTTAATTCCTTTTCAGAACTTTGAGCATCTCCTTTTATCATCCTTATTAGTCTAATGCTATGAATTTATCTCATTTTGCCCATGGAGAAAATGTAAAGAATGGATATAACAATATTAATCCTAGATTTTTTTCTTATTATTCTTATCCACATGCAGAAGCAAAGAGCGTTCAAGCCCAGGGCCTACAGTCATCCTGGATGTGTCTGTGTTACTGTTAAGTTCTAGAGTTAGTCATTTTCCAGGCATAAAGCTGTAGTGCCGTTACTTTTCTCTCAATAGCTCCTATTGCAAAAGATGAGTTTCTTAGCTGCTAGCCCCAAACAGTTTTACAAGACACAGGACCTACCCATCTCCCAACAGCTAGAGAGGGGAGACTGCGATACTTGTTTAAAGGACAATGCATTTTGTAAATGGTTATGTCTTCATTTTTATAATTTGTTCTTGATCTTCACTTCAATTATCCTAATTTTTCCTGGATGGCTAGCTGGAGAATAACAGGCATGATCGTTATTGTTGTTGCTGCTAGTTCAATATCTTTAGTTCATCACATGAACATGAACATGAACATGAAACAATTACTTGAGCCGATCATTTATGAACTTCAACTCTCAAACATTTTCACTGTGCTTGTTTTTAAATGCCCAAGAAAGTTAAGTGCATCTTGAACTATCTGGATTAAAGCTATATTCCTATCATTTAAAAGTCGTTGGGGTTCCCATCTACCTGCCTTAGGAAAGAAAAGAACCTAGAGCCTTGCTGCTGAAAGCAACATCATTAAGTCATCACTCCATTACCAACTCGGCTTGTTGACAATAACTCAAGTGCTCTCCTCCAGTTTTTCCTCTCTGACCTTAACCTCCCCTCCTGCCCCGCCCGCACCCTCCCTCCCAGTCTCCAGTTAGCTCATTGCTGTTCTCTGCCCACTAGTTACTCAGTCAGAGTCATCCATTGTGTTTGAGTCTCCCAAGGAGCTGTCTTGGTCTCCTGGAGACAGAGCGCAGTGGGGTTTTTCGGACGGACTCAGAGGTTCGGGTAATTTATCGTCTTGCAGTGAAAGAGATGGGAGTCAGAGAACAAATGACATTCAGAGATTTGTGTTGATGAAAGGACACCTATGCTCCTTCACTCTTCCACGTCTGCCGCCACCACCCCTCCTTGAAAGGAGTGCTGAGATTCCACGACTAAACTGCATGATTCTCTCAGCCTGGATCATCTAAAATTATGGCGCGTGGCAGAAAAATGTGATTTCTGTGAAGCTGTATTATTTTTTTCTTCCTCTGGTTTCTTGAGTGTCTTTTTGATCGTTGGGTGGCTGCTTTGTTCTGAAGCTTTCCTCCTTTTTTCCCCCTTAGTCTTCCATCCAGTTGAGTGTTCCTACTGCCACAGTGAGAGCATGATGGGATTCCGCTACCGCTGCCAGCAGTGTCACAACTACCAGCTCTGTCAGGACTGCTTCTGGAGGGGACATGCCGGCGGTTCCCACAGCAACCAGCACCAAATGAAAGAGTACACATCATGGGTAAGGCACGGTCCAAGCCAGACTTAACAGTTGGCGATGGCAGCATTGCCCAAAATGGAGAGATTGCAATAGAACTCAGAAACCAAGTTATGCTCTACCTCAAATCTCCCATGCCTTCTCTCCTTCCCCACGCTGCCTTACTGAGAACTCTTCCGTAGGACATTTGAACTCAGTGTGGCTCCCTGAGACCTAAAATGTAGGAAGACTCAAAGTATGTTGCTTCTTGGAATGTAAGTGATCCAGTACTGATTCCATAACCCCTGAAAGCAGGTGACTACTGGAATGTAATCTTGTTTCCACAGTAAGTTAAGATGTTTGGGGGTTTGGGGGAGGAAAGGTGGTCGTCATGTGTTGCTTGTTTTGTTTTGTTCTCTGTGAAAGTTGCTAAAATGTATTGTTGGATTCTTTTTTCTGGACTTCTGAGATTGCGGACTTTAGAAGAAACAATTATGTGAGGATGGGCTTAAGGATGACAGTTCATCTCATTTTTCTTCAGGGGTGGGAGATGGGGGATATATTCACAAATCATCTTTCTGAATGACCAGCCTGCGAAAGGTGACCTGTGAATGAGTGTCCGTCCATGTGGTCGGAAGCATCTTCAGAGGTGCAGGGAGGGCACTGCGTCAATGCCAGGAGCTAGTCAGCCTCTCTCAGTGTGCCGACTCTTCAGATGGTTGACCATTGACTTCTGTCTCACTTAAGCTCCAGTGACGCTGCTGTTTGCGTCTGTGAAAGTACTGGTCTATGTAGAGGTTGTTTTGGGTGGTAGTGGTGGTGTTTGTGTGTGTGTGTGGCATGAACCATCAGCTACTACCAGACCCTCTTGGAATGATTTTATGACAAAAAAAAGCTTTGTCTGATCTCTCCTCTAGTTTAATATACTTAAAATTAACCTATGGCCACTTAAGGTTTAGCCGATTGTTCTTTACAAAGTGTTCAGAATATGCATTTTACATCAGATTGCACTTTCTAAGAGTTATAATCAGGAACTGAGATTCCATGTGAACATCCTGTGTTCGCCTGTCAGAATCTGAGTTCCAAGTAGCAGCTTTTCACTGAGGCAGCGTGCACCAGGGAGGGCCCCACGCCAGCCAGCGCCCTGCTCTCACTCTTGGTGATGTCACGTGCTAAGGATAGAAGAGGAACGTGGGTCGTAAAATATAGTTTAATATAGAAGACAGGAGCGAACATTTGTGAGCTTCTTGTTGTTAACAGATTAACCAACTTCAATCTTGTCCTATCCCTGATCCTGGAGGATTGGTGTTTGAAGGCCAATCGCATTTCATTGTCATTTTAGTGAGTCTTTAAAGAGTGAGAGTAAAAGTAGCTGCAGGGTGATGGCAATCAGGGACTGCGTGAACAAAGAGAAGTGTCAGGATTACAAATGACTTCTCACAGGAAGGAAAACTGGTAAAGATGTATTTCACGGCTAGACTCACTGTCACCAGTTTGGATGTGCAATGTTAAGAGAAACATTCTACCTACTTCAATGAAAACACTCGCACAGTGCTCTGGGGTGGGGGTGGGGGCGGCAGAGTGGAATGGAGGTACAAAACAGAACATTAAATTTATCTTCTAAAGACTCAGATTTAAATTCCACGTTTGCTGCTAACCGGATGCATTCTGCCACATCTGGAGCGCCCTCCACCTGGAGTACTACAAAAACACTTGTGCTCATCAACCGTCTGCCACTCTAATGCTCCTTCCCAAATCACTTCCTGTCCTTAAGGGAGAGCAGTGCTTCTAGAATTGGGTCTGATTGTGCCATTGCTGTGTGCCACGCCATTGTGCCATTGCTGTGATTTCAATGTCCCAGTGGCTTCCTCGGCCCCTGCTCACAGCCACCATCCTTTATGTGGCCTGAAGCACCTCGATGGTCAGCCTCCTGCTCTTCTCTCAGGGTGGGGGTCTCTTCCTTTCTTCCTTTGCAGTTGCTGTGGCCTCTATCTGGAATCCCTTCATGGTGTGGGGGGTTATAAATGTTCAGCTGATAGCCAAAAGGTTGTTGGTTCAAACCCACCAGCTGCTTTGTAGGAGAAAGATGAGGCTGTAAGGATTTACAGTCTCAGAAACCCACAGGGGCAGCTCCGCTCTGTGCCACAGGGTCGCTATGAGTTGGAATCAACTTGATGGCAGTAGTTTTGCCAAGGTTTCGTCAGGAGGACTCCTGCTGATCCAGGAAGTCCCTACCCATGAGTACCAGGCACAATAAGTGCTTGCATTTCCCACAGCGCTCGCTAATGCTGATCAGTAGGAGGGCCGGTGACGTGATGGCTTGGTTCACCACACTACCACCAGCAGTGAGGCAGCATCCTGTCATACAAACTCTGGCTCCGACTCAGAGCAGCCCAATAAGACCAAATAGTACTGCCTGCAAGGGTCCCCTAGGCCTCAGGGCTGTTGTGGGGAAGCACTGGATGCTATCTACAAAGAGAGAAGTTCAGACGCACCAGAAAGATGAGGTTGTCTGCTCGCCGAAGGATTCACGAAGCCTGGGAAATTCGACCTAGGATCACCAGGTGTCTCAAGGAGGTGGCTTTGGTTTGGTTTGGTTTGGTTTTCTTTTCTTTGGAATCTCTTGGGAATCAATCCTCAGGTCTTTTCTCCCACATCGTGGGTGAAGGTTGACCTTTTGGTGAGCAACCACCGAGCGCTCAACTGCTGTGCCACCACGGCTCATGTCGTATCTTAAAATAGTTACTGAAAAGGATTTCCTGAATGGATGGATTAATGCCTCCCTGGGTCACAGAGCAATGCACATGACAGAGTGTGACACTAACACGTCATTTTTATCACGCCTGCCTTTCTTGTTCTCTCCAGAAATCCCCTGCTAAGAAGCTAACGAATGCGTTAAGCAAGTCCCTGAGCTGTGCTTCCAGCCGAGAGCCCCTGCACCCCATGTTCCCCGATCAGCCCGAGAAGCCCCTCAACCTGGCGCACATCGTGTGAGTATCTCCAACATGAGCGGCAAGTCGCTGGCACCTGTCAGGGACCAATTTTTAAATATATGCTTTAAAAAAAATGAGTGAAATCCTATCATTAGCATTTCTCTTTTTCTGGTTGAGGTACACGCTGCTAGCAGAATTCACTCAGAGGTGGAAACAACTGATGCAGCATAGTTAGCACACATGGACGATAGGGTGTTGGCACACTGGGGCGCTCTCCGTCTGTGAAATGGCCACGGTCAGGAAGTTTTCAAGTGCACGGCGCCTTAGCATCACATGTGCTTGCAGTCTCAAATGGCAGAGTTCTCTACTTCATGCTTCCACGGAGCTAGCCATCTTCAAGACTCCAGAACCCTAGAGTTTAGTTTTTGTTTTACTTTTAACATCAAGCCACATCATTGAAAAAACACTGTAGCTTGAGCCAAGGAGGCTTGGAGAGGGAAGGCCCTGAGAAAAGCCATCAAAGCAGCCACAGGTGGATGGATTAAACTTCTGCGCAGTGCGCGTGAACTTGAAAGAGGTGGTCCCGAGGAGGATCTTCCTCCCACAGCCCAGAACCTCAGGCCCAGCCCCTCCCTCAGCACTTGTTTCCAACAACCTAGCTGTGTATACAGCCTGCAAACAAATTCTGCAGAGCGTGATTTGCTTATCTTTGGAAAGGACGCCTCTAAATACAAGCCTTGAAATAAGCCCGGGCGAAAAAGAGACAGAACATCGGGTAGGGCCGCCACTGGAAGCACCACTTGCAGGAGGTGGCGTCACACAGACTCCTCCCTGACTCCGACCTTTTGCGGAAGAGTGCTGAGCAGAGCCTGAGTTTTCCTGTCCACAGTCAAGGAGAGCCCGTCTCTAAGTTGCCAATGAATAAAGAAGCACCGTGAGAGCCATCCTGTGCTCTCAGCCCCACGTCTCTCTCCTCCAGCCCTGCTAGCTTCCTCGGAGCAGCACGGCTGCCGCCTAAGGTGATGGAGATGGAGTGGTGTGAGAGGCCCACAGGAGCATGGAATGAGGGTGCTGCCTCCCACCTTCAGAAAGTGGGGGGCTGTGAAGTACAGCACGATACGGTGTTGCCTCACCGGGCCCTGTGCACACCCCGTCGGGGTGTGTGCATGTGAGCTATTCAGTTGGCTAATGAGGAATGGTTTTGAAACGTTAATTATGGGAGGAATGTGATCTGGTGTGTGATCGACTCTTCCTTTGGGATCCACGGGCATTTCATGCCTCTCTAACCATTCTTTAAGAAGTGGTGCCCTCACGAGCCTGTGTGTGTGTGTGTGTGTATGTGTGTGTGTGTGTATGTGTGTGTGTGTGTGTGACAAACGCTTCCTATGGTATGTTAGTCACTAAAGAGAGTAGCTGCACAATCGACTCTCCCTTTGGGGTCCATAGGTGTTTCATGCCTCCTTAACCATTCTATAAGAAGTGGTGCCCTCACGAGCCTGTGTGTGTGTGTGTGTGTGTGACAAACGCCCCCTCTATTGAACCAAATTCTCCAAAGAATCACTGGATCCCAATCCTGATCCCTGCTCACTGATAGCATATTGATATTTCCCAAGGTGAATGTCTTCATTTCAAAATGCAACCGGTGCAAGGTATCTGATGACTGAAGTCCTGTGCAGGAAATGCTGGACGCAGACAGTTCCGTTTGTACTCAAAGAGGAATGCTTTCTGTCTTTAGCTGTAGAAATGTTTCTCTGTATTGATGTCGTCTTCCAACCGCTATGTCCCCAAACAGTTATCCCTGTCCCTCGCAGGGAAAAGGGCCTCCTAAGACATCTCATTTAAAATATGCTTCTCAGTTACCTATCCTAAATTATCAAAGGCCCAGGAAGGTCTCATAAATAAAAAATAAATGTCAGGACGCTTTAATCTTTTACAAAGGAGGATACCACCCATGACATATCTGGACATATCTGGAATTAATACATAATCACAATTCCAGATATACATACATTTTTATAAAATTCAACCAAACTATAGAACATTTCACAGCATGCTAGTTTAGCATAAGCCATCTTACCACTCATATACAGTGCTAAATAATAAAATAAGATGAACGAACACTTTAAGCGAGAAAGTCCATAATTCTTCTGCCCCCAAATAGTTCCCTTAATTTATTATCCCAAATATGACTCAAAGCATAAAGGTTTGAATCAGAGGTAGTGAAGAAATGTTGACAGTGAGAAGCTTTACTGACAAAGCTAGAGTTGACATATAAAAGGATATTCTGTGAAAACATCCATGGTCATAAAAATGTATCTTCTAGCTGTGGCTCTTCTCAATGATGTTTCCCTGGTTTTTCCATATGCAAACATTTATTTCTTAATCTTTACATTGTAGTGCCAACCACATATGTGTCATTCTTTGCACATGTTCACCTATGTTCATAACGATATCTCAATATATGTAGTGGTCTGTGCATTGAGCGGCTGACCAGAAGGTAAGCATTTCAAATCCACCGGCAGACTGTAGGTGACAAGGCAATCTGCTCCTGTCAAAACTTTAGAGTCTCAGAGACACCAAGGAGTAGTTTTACTCTGTGCTACAAGGTCTTGGGTCAGAATAAACTTGATGGCAGTGGGTTTGGTTTGGGATGTGATTTACACA